CCAGGAAATTCCTTGGGGCCCATTCATTGCCTTAGTGAAAGGAATGACCCGGTGTCTCTCTTCAGAGTCCCTTCTCTTCTGCTAGGATGGCTACAGGAATAGAAAACATTCAGATTGCAGGATGCCACTGGCCTCTTCCATAGGAAGGGGTATGAGTCCCCCTGCACAGGGGAGGTCTCAGAAGTGAACAAGGAGCAAGAGAGGATATGTTTACTAAATTTGGAGCTCTTGTTACCTACTGACCAGACTGGGAGGTAGGACACACACACATTCCAGCCAGACAACAGAACTCACCAGAGGTGAAGCAACTTGGTGGGGGTACTCATAACTGGGAAATGCAGGGTCATTCTATTTATTTTCATGTGTGTATATACATATTTATGAAATATGAATATATATACATATATGCATATATTTATATTGAGACAGGGTCTCACTATGTAGACCATACCGGCCTTGAACGTACAGAGCTCTCCCTCCTTCTGCCTCCCAAGTGCTGGGACTAGACTAAAGCATTTGCCATTACATCCAGCTCTCTCTTTTTAAAAATGTATTTACTCTTCTTTTTAGACTGAGTCTCACTAAGTTGCCCTTGAACTTACTCTGTAGCCCAGTAAGGCTTCGAACTTGCCATCCTCGCCCTCAGAAGTACCCGAGTTTATAATCTGTGCCCAGCTTGCAGACTGAATTCAAAGTCTGGTTCCACAAGGACTCAGGACTCAATGCAGGCTCCGAGCTAGAAGGGTGGCTGCTGTGGGAAACCCCGGCTGACCTGCTTTTAATTAACAATACGTGCATTGCAGAGCCCTTGTGGCTCCAGGTGCTGGGACACGCTGGGAAGCAAGAACAAGCTGCCTTCAGAGGGAGAGGCTGACGCACAGGCAGGGAGCAGAGGCATAAGCGTGTGCCTGCGTGAGTCATCAGGACAGTGGAGAAGCGGGAGGGGAGCAGGTGGCAGGAGGCTACCTCGAGTTGGGGCTCCCGGCTCCTTGCTTCTCACAGGCTGCTGCACCCACAGGGAGGTAGGGTACTTGTTCAGCATGGCTGAGTTCTCTCCAGGCTCTGACCCCAACAGGTCTTATTTTCTCTCACATGCTGTTAAACCAAATCTGAGCATTTAAGTATTCAAGGGACCCCCGCTCTGCAAATATCTGCGCACCTCCAGCAGCTCCCACCCACTCCCCAGAGGCCAATTAAGACTCCCTCCTTGGGGACAGCAGGCAGCCCTGACAGCAGGAGTGCTGAATTCCAGAGGCTTCACAGACCGGGGTGCCCACTCCCAGCTGCCAGTGATCAGGAGGCTGCATCAGCTAGCCTGCTGGCATCCTACTACTCCTACCCAGGAGAATGCTATGTGTTAACATGTGGGCACATGCATTTGTGTATATGTGCACACACACACACACACACACACACAGCCTTCGTATACCAGACCCTGAACCCAGTATTATCACAGGGGAGCAAAACGTTAGCATTTCCAGATGCCAAGGGCTCTGGATTCTCTCTTCGTGCGCAGAAGACCTGAGTTGCTGGGTGCCCAGGGTCAAGTTACACAGAAGTAGAGCGACAGATCAGCCCATGACACCCTTTGCTTCTCATCAGTCCTTCTGTGTGCCTTGCTGTCCCTGCTCTCGGCTGCCCTGCCCTGAAAAAGCCATGCAAAAAACTCATCCGCTCTGAGCTGCTTGTAGGCAAAGAGCAGTACAAAAAAAAAAAAAAAGAAGAAGAAGAAAATAGAACGGGGCAGCAGAGCTGAAACATTCTCCTTGGAGGGAAAGGAAATCAAATTTGATGAACCTCTGCATAATGTTAAGTTATGAATGTGCAAAGTGATATTCCGCACATATGCTGTGAAGCGCTCATCGTGGGTCTGAGCAGTCCAGGGCTGCAGGAGCTGGGGCTAGATGAGAAGCGGCTGCCCGGGCGAGGTATGCATGGTATGAGCTGCACCCTCAGCAGTACAGGGTGCAGTTTCCCCAGGTTGATTGTATTGAAGCGCCATAAAGCAGTTGCAGTGCTAATGAGGCACGGGGGCGGGGCGGGGCGGGGGCGGAGCTTCAGGTCATTCACCACAGCTTTAAGGGAGCACTGTCCCCTTCCAGTCCTGACTATGGATACCTGGGCTGTGACAAGCTCCTGACCATGCCGGGGAATGAATGGTCTCCTCCCTGCCAGGACACTGCAGACAAGGAGGCTGGAGTTAAATGCTAAGCAAGAGGGAGGCAGCATCCATGCTTCTCTAGGGTCGCTGGATCACCAGGAAAGCACCTCATGAGTTCCTAGTAGGTTTCAGGTACAATCCTGGGGGTCCGGGTACTGTAAGTGGCACACGGGTGATACTAGCCCCTAGCGTAGGTATGTGGGGCACACATGCAGAGAAGTGACCGGAAAGAGGGGTGAGCTCTGGGGTAGGGAAGTCTCTGAGCGCCCATGGGAGAAAGGAGGAGGCAGAGAAAGGTCTGGAATAATCAGAGATGGGCCCATCCTCCGTCATTTGGTATTCATGCTCTACCTCTGCCTGAAAGTGCCTCATTGCCCCTCTGGTCCTCCACATGCCCTGAGGGCCTGCCTCTGGGGGCACTCAGTCCTACCCACTGAAAAGTATTGCTTTTACCTCATTCTCTCCCCTCCCACCCCTTCCTACACCCCCATCTCACCCTGCACCCAAAGACCAGGTATGGGACTCACCTGTCAGGTGGTTGCAAGATTCACAAGGAGAAGAGAAAGGGGACAAGGAAGGAGGGAGGGATCGGGAAAGATGTGTTCAAGCGCAGGCTCCCACTCCGGGCGCCACTGAGAGCAAGCTAGATGCAGTTTCTCCTAGGCATAGGAGGCCCAGGCCTTTATCCACCACTGCTAATAGCCTTCTGGACATTCTAGCAGGTACTTGAGAAGGCTGACTCCCCAATCACAAAGACTCCTTCATCTGAGAGTCCCGTATACCTGCAGTAAGAGTTCCACTCCCACCCCCAGACACATAATGTCTGTAGCACTGGGCAGGCATGCCCACGGTTTCAGAACACCTGTGTGGACATGAGCAGGTGCCTAGGTTTGGTGTTAAGTCTGCTTCTTCCCACTGAGCAGCCTGATCCTTGGGGGCATGACCAGCTTGAAAAGATTCAAGCATTGAGCTGCACAGACCTGAGCCCACATCCTCCATTTGCTGTGTGGTTTTAAATAAGTGTCTTCACATCTCTGAGTCTCATCTATCACATGAAGCTAATGGTGCTCACTGGGAGACCAAAAGGATGGTGTTAGATGCCTAGACACAGAACCCAGCATAGCTGGCGGGCTCTGTCTTGGACTCCACTCAGGGGAAAGTGGTGTGGGCTGTGGTGAAGCTCACTGGAGAGTAGCGTTAGCATATGTGAGACATTTGGTTCCACCCCCAGCACTGGGGAAAACAGAAGCAGCCGGGGGACACTGAGAATGGAGACCCCAGGCTGAGTCTGCTCTTCTTATATTCCCACAGTATAGGAGCCCAGGCAGGATGTGCTGTGTGTGGTCAAGACAGGAGGCAGAGCGCTTCTGCCTTACCTCAGCTGTCACCAGCCTTTGCCAGCCTAGGAGGTGGGCAGAGGAGGGCAGCACTGGCCATGCTGGGTGGGGCCCACTTCCTGGGCAGAAAGAGGCAGTAAGGTGGGCAGGGTCTTTTATGGCCCAGAAGAGATTCCAGCAGCTAAAGCCGGGCAAGGTGGTACTAGATTGTAGCCGACCCCAGGAATGACTTTGGATGGAGCTAGGAAATAAGAATGAAGTCGGTTCAGAACCAATGAACTAAGGCAGGACAAGAGGCACCCCAAATACCAGGGGTCCCCCAGATGATTCTGAGGGTCTTCAGAAGAACAGGTGAGAGGAGTCCGGCCTACTTAGGGTCTCCAGCTTCTAAAATCCTGACATCCATCCTCTACCCTATGTCTGCCATCCTGCCATATATTACTCCTTCCATCAATCTACCCATCTAACTCACCTACCCCTTTGCTTCTCTACTCATTCACTTACCCACCCAATCACCTAATGATCTAATCACTCAATTACCCATCTGTTCATCCAACAATTTACCTGTCTATCCATCCATCCTTCCATTCACCTGTGTATGTGTCCAACACTGACCTACCTCATTCACCATCTGCCCATCTACCTTATCTACCCGCCAACTCACTTATCTGTCCATATACGCATCCGTCCATCTGTCTACTACCATCTACTCATTTACCTGCTTATCCAGGTTTTAACCATTCAACTGCCCATCTATCCATCCAAGCATTCAGCAACCACTCACCCATCCATCCATCAATCTGTCCATCCATCAATCCATTCACTTATCTATCTCGCCACCCACCCACTATTTGTTGCCACCCATGTTATTCCCAGATCACTTCTGAATACACAGGTAATCAGGGTTCGTCCTTTACCTTGAGAAGTCACCAATCTCTGGTGACATCACCAACCCTACTGCTGGATCCTTTCACACAGCACCATTGCAGGGCCCAAGAAAGAAGTCATCACAGTTCAGCCTTCTGGTCATAGCTGAAGTAGCCCAGGGCTGAACGGCTACCACATACATGTTGTTTCTTTCTGAGTTTTCTATAATCTGGTCACATAAGTCCTAAGCAACCATTTTTTTAAAAAAGAAAGATGTATTTATTTATTATGTATAGTGTTCTGCCTGAAGGTATCCCTGCACATCAGATGAGGGCACCAGATCTCACAGATGGTTGTGAGCCACCATGTGGTTGTTGGGAACTGAACTTAGGATTTCTGGAAGGGCAGCTTAACCTCTTAACCTCTGAGCAATCTCTCCAACACACAATCTTAAATTCACAAAACTTTTGAAATCCCAGAAATCCCAAAGTCCATACTATCTCTTACCCAGCTTGTCCCAGCTCCAAGATCACCTCAGGCAGACCATTTGCTCCAGTCTTGACTGGGGTCTTGGGAATACTGAAGACAGGCCCTGGACTTCAGAAGCCTAGCACTATCCAGACGTATGCACTGACCTCTCCCGGAAGTACTTGATAGCCTCAGGATCTATGAAGGTCGGCTCCTCCCGGTAGCCCTGCTCAAAAACCTTGCGCTTGTGCCGGAACTCAATGACTGTCTTGGTGTAGGAGTTGAGCGTAGTGACAGACGCCGCCATGCAGCAGGTAAATGAACCCCAGGCCAAGCTGCCAAGAGACCAGAAGAGAGATGCCACAGTGAGGGTGGGCAGGGACAAGGAGCCTCATCACACACATTTGTCTACCTAGCACAACTCCAAGCCCTCAGGCCTGGTTCCCACTCGACTTTGATCTGGGGGAGTTATAGCGGTCTTCACATTGTACAAAGACACATTGTTCAGCCATTATTGTGAGAGCAAGGAGAGAGAACCAGGGGCAGTTTTCCAGAATACAGTGATGACCAATACTGGTCCTGGTAGGATGAAGAAGTCCTGGCCAGAGAAGAACATTCTAGAAAGAAGGAGCAGTACATGCAAAGGCACGGAGGCATGAGGCAGCAGGATACATAAACACACTGCGGGAGGCAGCGATTCTGGAGTGGGGAAGACTGGAGATACTGAAGTTAGTGCTGGAGAAGGCAGTGGGGCATGTTTAGCTTGAGGGTTAAGTTGCCTTTGCTCTAAGATGCTCCTGGAAAATATACTTGGACTTTGTGCCATGCACCCCTCACACCCAGTCTTGTGGCTAGCATGGATGTTGCAGGAATTAATGCACCAGACTAGTGGCTGACATGCTGAGGAGCTCAGGAGAGGCTTGCTACCATTACTGCCATCACTGGACAGGCATTCCAACTCCTGCTTCTTTACGACCCAGAGTTCAAGTTCTCCCTCTAGGAGATGGAGCTCTGACGTCCTGCTCGGATGTCCACTCCACATCTTTCCCCCTGTAGTTGCACTGCTTGGCCGCTCTACCCGATGAGGGCACTGAACGAGTCACAAAGTCAGACCACCTGGCTCCAGTCCCACCGGCCTGATTTCCATCCAGGCTGCTGATCTCTTCTGATCTCATTCCACGAGCTCCTTTCTGCTCTCTCAGCACCACAGTACCTGAGGGCTCTAGGCTTTACCTGCCACCAGCCTACCTGGAGCCCTCTGAACATGGCCATTTCCAGTGCCCTATTATCAGGGCAGCCCTGCTTTCTTCTTGACAACAGCCTCGGCAAATCCCAGAAGGAAAGTCAAAGAAAAGCCTGTAGATTTGGCCTTTCTCAAGTGGATCTTCAATAATCACTTATTTCCATTCACGCCTAACTCACTAATAGATTCCTCACATCTTTTGGAGCTAATTTAGATCTTCTAGAAGCCTGGAGTGTCTATAATAGAAAGTTTTAAGGTGTCAGCCTCTCTAAGGACTTTCATGCCTATTAAAGGGTTCAATATGTTACACATAGGGTAGGGGGCAGGGAGAGAGACAGAGAGACATAGAGACACTATGAGAGACAGAGAAAGGGAAGGTGGGAGGGAGGGGAAGAGGGAGGGAAGGAGGGAGGGAAGGAGGGAGGGAGAGAGACAAAGACAGAGAAAGAGAGACACACAGAGAGACAGAGAGAGAGAGAGATTATAGATGACTGTAGTCAAAGCTGATCTGATCAAGTGCTCTCTCCTAAGCAATGGCGCTGAAATGCCATCTTAGTCTGTGATGTCCTGTGATAGAAACTCACAACCTGAGGTAGAAGAATTAAAAAGCACACTTGTTTGGAGAATTTGGTGTGTGTTAGTTTGGTTTGCCCGGTGTCCATTCTTACTTCTGGTAACTACTTCCATCCTCTCAGGCCACCTAGTTTGGGTGGATCTGGCCTGCTTTCAACGTCTAGGGATGAGCACCTGACTAGGACTGGCCAATCAAAGTGTTACTTCCTGTTGTCAAAGTCCTTGGCTTAGGGATGGACCACGGCCTAGCTCTGGATCAGGAGACACCATCTGAGAACTTCAGCTGGAACTATGGAGAAGAGCCCATATCTCTCCTGGGCTGCTGGGCTGGTGAGCTGTCTTCCAGGAACTGCTGGGGACCACCAAACCTGAAACGTAAGCTGATCCAGGAGAAAGCAGAGGCATTAAGGAGCCGATGCTATTGTCCTTGAGCCTGTCGCTCATGGGAACCTAGATCCTTTCCTTTGGAGTTTTCTCCATCAGTCAGTTCATACTGGCTTTCTGCCGCTGGCAACAGAAGCCCTTATTTACATATCTGTGTAAACATCTTCTTTCGTGTAAGTTAGTTTTGAGGTGAATTTTCAGTCTTTACAGCCAGAAATATTAACTTTAACTAAGCCTTTACTCCCACCCTGGTTGATCCCAGTAAAGGGATAAAGCTGAAAGTCTGCAGGCAGAGATTTGAGCAAAGCAAAAAGGTTCAAGGGAGGGAGCCTAGTCTGTAGGAGTGATGCTTGGGCTGAGTGATGGTGCCCAGGTCACAGGGATTGTCTTGGCTAGTTATAATCAAGTTAGAGTTACCCGAGAAGAGGGAACCACAACTGGGAAAATGCCTCTGTGAGATTGTTATGTAGGCACGCCTGTGGGTGCAGTTTCTTAATTACTGATGGATGTGGTAGTGCCACCCCTGCACGGGTAGTCCTGGATTGTAAAAGAAAGAAGTCTGAGCAATCCCTGAGGAGTCAGTCAGTAAACAGCACTCCACCAAGGCTTTAACTTGAGTTCCTGCCTCCAGTTCCGGCTCAGCTTGAGTTCCTGTCCCGACTTCTCTTAGTGATGAGTTATAATCTGGAAGTATAAGATGAACTAAATCCTTTCCTCCCAATTTGCTCTTGGTCGTAGTGTTTTATCACAGCAATGGAGGCCCAAGGAAGACAGGAATGATCAAAAGTTGTAGGGATGGAGCCTAGGCTGTAGGGATAGGGCCAAGGCTGTAACAATGGAGTCTAGGATGTAGAAATGGAACCTGGGCTATAGGGATGGAGTGTAGGATATACGGATGGAGCTTAGGCTGCAGGGATAGAGTCAAGACTGCAGGGGTGCAGCCTAGGGTACAGAGATGGGGCCTAGAATGTAGAGATGAAGTTAGGGTGTAAGGACAGAGTCAAGAATGTAGGAATGGAGCCTAGGATGTAGAAATGGAGTCTATGGTGTAGGGATGGGACCTAAGATGTAGGAATAAAACCTAGGATGTAGGGATGGAATCTAGGATGCAGATTAGAAATGGGACATAAGATGTAGGGATGAAGCCTAAGGTATAGGGAGTCTAGGATGTAGGGATGGATCCTAGTGTGTAGGGATGGAACAGAGGACACAGGGATGAAACAGAGACTGCAGGGATGGAACAGAGACTACAGGGATGGAACAGAGACTACAGGGATGGAACAGAGGCTGCAGGGATGGAACAGAGGCTGCAGGGATGGAACAGAGGCTGCAGGGATGGAACAGAGGCTGCAGGGATGGAACAGAGGATGCAGGGATAGAACAGAGACTACAGGGATTGGACAGAGGCTGCAGGGATGGAACAGAGGATACAGGGATGGAACAGAGGATACAGGGATGGAAAAGAGGCTGCAGGGATGGAACAGAGGATACAGGGATGGAACAGAGGCTGCAGGGATTGAACAGAGGCTGCAGGGATGGAACAGAAGCAAAGAAACTTCTGGGCAGAAAGGCAGACTGACTTGTAGACCATGTCCACACCCCATCTACTCTTCATGTAGGGCTTTCAATCAGAGGAAGTGCTACCCTGAGCAATAGCTCAGCATTGCACATTCCAGTTATCACCCAGGAACTGGGACTCTCTACTGTCCAAGCTTTTCCCATGTTCCAGCCCAGCTGTTTAATTCTCACCTCCAGTGTCACTTCCTCAGCCCCTACTCACCATCTCTAATAAGCCTCAGTCTTCATCACACCATATAATTTTCTTGAATCCTTCCCCCTTTAATTATCCTTTGATTTTTAAATTAATTAAAAATTGGAAAGTACTTATAGATTCAAATGAAACTGTAATACACACAAAGAGATGGGTGGAGTTTTATTGTCTTTAGCTAGTTTCCTCCAATTACAACATATTACAGAATGAGTGCAACTGTGATACGGTATCAGGACCAGTACAGATGGAAGTTTCTGTCCCACCAGGTCCCATGGCTGTTCAGTCTCAAAGAAATACGCAGAGGCTTACATTAATTATACACTGTTTGGCCTATTAGCTCAGGATTATTATTTTCTAACTCTTACAACTTAAACTAACCCATAATTCTTATCTATGTTTAGCCATGTGGCTTAGTACCTTTTCTCAGTAAGGCATTCTCATCTTGCTTTCTCTGCATCTAGCCGGTGACTGATTTTCTGCCTTTCCTCTTCCCAGAATTTTCCTAGTCTGGTCACTCCACCTATACTTCCTGCCTGACTATTGGTCAATCAGCATTTTATTAAACCAATATGAAAGATAAATTTTTATAATGTACAGGAACATTAGCCCATAGCATTTCCTTTTTTTTCTTATCAAAACAAAACCCTGAATCTAGTCTCTTTTGTTTAGTTTTTGTCCTGACCATTATCTATAACAACTTGTAACCAACATGCTAAACAAGGACAAACATACATAATCCCTTTTTAAGGGAATGTGGGCATAGTTTTCTAGGCTACTTCCTGTTGATTGAGGGTGCTCATAATCTTATAGGGACCCAAAGAAAATTTAGGATTATGGTCAAGTCCTGAGGGGAGTATTCTGTGAGACTGAATTATCTCAGCCAGTAGCCTTGAAGCTGTTCTGGATGCAGAACTCAGAAGAAACTGCAACAGAGGTGCTCTAGAATGTTGGGTCATTTGGGCCATCTGTTCCTATTGGAGATTTTCAGGGGTCTTCCTTGATCCAACCTTATTTTTTTTTAACCAAGAATAAATCCACAGACTCTCATTTCCTGTGGAAACAAAAGTAAAGCATCTTCTCCAAAGAAGCATATCTTTTTACTTAAAATTTGAAGTCAAGACATTTTAAAAATATACAGGTTATATAAATCCAGCACAATTTATAGCCAGACGTCTTTAGGCAGCTATTGCTCCTTCCTCAGCAGTCAAACAACTCAAAGACAACACAATACATACAGTATCCAGATTCTCTGTGCATTTTACATTTTTACATGGACTTTTTTTTAAAAAAAATTCTATTTCTTTTATTTTTATTTTTTGGTTTTTTGAGACAGGGTTTCTTTGTGTATCTTTGACTGTCCTGGA